AAATAAAGGAGAAAAGTCAACTGGGTGTGATGGCTCATGCCTGTAATCCTAGCACTTTGGGAGGCCAAGACGGGTGGATGCCTTGAGTCCAGGAGTTCGAGACTAGCCTGGCCAACATGGCGAAACCTGTTCTCTCTCTCTCTCTCTCTCTCTTTTTTTTTTTTTAATTCTTTAGTTAGAAATGGAAAAAAGAAAGAAGTCTAGTTTTTCTGAAACAAGCACTGTGTTGGTGCTAACTTTCTTCATGTGTGGAACACATAGAAAGTGATGTTTGTACAGCACCTTGAAACAAGCAGGAGGTGATGCCAAGAGCCTTAGCCCTGCAGGGACCCTACTAGGCCTTCTGAAGCTGACCTTGTAACCCATTTCCAGCCCATGGGTGTCAATTGGGAAATTCCGCACAAGATCCTAGCAGGTGCAGTTACATATAATTCAATTGAATAAATGGTTTTTGATGATGAGATTTTAAAATGAAGTTATTCAGTAGGCAGGGCATGGTGACTCACACCTGTAATCCCAGCACTTTGGGAGGCCAAGGCGGGCAGATCACAGGGTCAGGAGTTCAAGACCAACCTGACCAACATGGTGAAACCCCGTCTCTACTAAAAGTACAAAAATTGCCCTGATGGGATGATGAGCGCCTGTAATCCCAGCTACTCAGGAGGCTGAGGCAGGAGAATCACTTGAACCTGGGAGGCAGAGGTTATAGTGAGCCAAGATGGCGCGCTGCACTCCAGCCTGGGTGACAGAGCGAGACTCTGTCTCAAAAAAAAAAAAAGCCCAGCGCAGTGGCTGAGGCCTGTAATCCCAGCACTCTGGGAGGCCAAGGCGGGTGGGTCACCTGAGGTCGAGAGTTTGAGAGCAGCCTGACCACCGTGGAGAAACCCATCTCTACTAACAATACAAAAAATTAGCTGGGCTTTGTGGCACATGCCTGTAGTCCCAGCTACTCGGGAGGCTGAGACAGGAGAATCGCTTGAACCTGGGAGTCTGAGGTTGCAGTGAGCCGAGATCTCGCCATTGTCTCCAGCCTGGGCAACAACAGCGAAACTCCGTCTTAAAAAAGAAAAGAAAGAAAGAAAGAAAATCAACCTATTTGAAGACTGGGCGCTGTGGCTCTACTAAAAATACAAAAAATTAGCTGGGCGTGGTGGCGGGTGCCTGTAATCCCAGCTCCTCGGGAGGCTGAGGCAGGAGAAGCACTTGAACCCAGTAGGCGGAGGTTGCAGTGAGCTGAGATCGCCCTATTGCACTCCAGCCCGGGCGACAGTCCCAGTCTCCGTCTAAAAAAATAAATCAAGTTATTCATATTTGCCCAACAGACCTCAAAACTGTTAAAGAGGCCAGGATTAAGTATCAGATTTTCTAGATAGTTTTTCTAAACATTTGGACTTAGACATTCCCAGTAAAAATATGTTTTGTTGTGAACAAAAATACACTGGCATTATTACCTAAGTGTATTTCCAAGATGTTGCCACGTATGTTTTCTTATTTACAGCTAGAGTTAATTACGAAAACTGTGGGGTTGGAGGCGAGGTGGAGGCGGCCGTTTGTTTTCTCGTGGTCTCCCGCTAGCGTGCTCGCTTCCCCTCCCCCGCGGCGTCTGGCTGGGTGGAGAAACGGTGGCGGTGGCAGCTGGAGCAGCAGAGGCTGGAGCATCGGACACCCTCCTCCCACGAACCAGTTCCTCTTTCCCTTCCTCGCTGTGTGTTTGATGTGTTAAAGCAGGAGCGGGAATGCGAGCAGCGCCATGAGCAACACTACCGTCGTCCCCAGCACTGCGGGTCCGGGCCCCAGCGGCGGGCCTAGTAGCGGAGGTGGTGGCGGCGGTGGAGGCTGTGGCACCGAGGTAATAGATGACTAATCTCCCCGAGCGCTAGCTCTGAGCAGATGCGGACTCTCTTCGGTTTCCCAGGCAAGATCGACGAACCACACCTCTTCCCGCTGGATCATTCACCTTTGCCAATCTCAGTCTTGTTAAGTTCCATGATCCAGACTCAGCAGTTGTGGCACCACGTCTGACACTGTGTTCCTTGACAGAGCTTTGATAATGTACCATATGCAGAAGGAGTTATTCCTGATAAGGCTAAGGCTTGCTTGTCTCTTTTGGCACCAGCTAATGCAGTGGCAGGTCTTCTGCCTGGTGTTGGGCTCCAGCCTACTCCTAACCCACTTACTCAGACTGGCGCCGTTCCACCGGCTGCTTTGGGGGCTCCTACTCTTGGTCCTGCCCTTGCTGCCCTTGGGCTTCCTGGAGCAAAGTTGAACTCAGTCTGTTGCCACAGATCAGTTGCTGAAGCTTATGAGTACTGTTGATCCCAAGTTGAAGCATGTGGCTGCTGGTCTTGTTTCACCAAGTCTGAAATTGGATACCTCTAGTAAAGAAATAGAGGAAGAGGCCCTGCGTGGTGGCTCACACCCCTAATCCTAGCACTTTGGGAGGCTGAGGTGGGTGGATCACTTGAGGTCAGGAGTTCAAGACCAACCTGACCAACATGGTGAAACCTTGTCTCTACTAAAAATTCAGAATTAGCCGGGTGTGGTGGCACATCCCGGTAACCCCAAGTACTTAGGAGACTGAGGCAGGAGAAGTGCTTGAACCCTGGAGGTGGAGGTTGCAGTGAGCCGAGATCATGCCATTGCACTCCAGCCTGGGCAACAAGAGCAAAACTCTGTCTCAAAAAAAATAGAGGAAGCTATGTAAAGAGTACAAGAAGCACAGTCCCTAATTTCGGCTGCTATAGAACCAAAGAAGAAAGAAGGCATTCAAGATCATCTTCTAAACACAGACAGTCAAGAAACAGATCAAGAGAGCGATCACATTCTAAGTCTAGGAGTCGTTGATCCAAAAGCCCAAGACAGAGAAGATCTCATTCCAGGGAGAGAGGTAGAAGATCAAGGAGCACATCAAAAACGAGAGACAAAAAGAAATAAGACGAAAGAAACGTTCTAAAACACCACCAAAAAATTACAGCAGAGCCAAACATTGTAAAAGTACAAACAGAGATGACAACGAAGAAGCAGGAGTGGAACAAGATCTCCCAAAAAGTCGCAGTCTCCTAAAAGAAAATTGTCTCTCTCACCATCCCCTGGGAGACATAAAAAGAAGAAAAAAGATAGTAGGGATGAAAGAGTAGGGAGAAAGATAGTAGGGATGAAAGAGAACGATCAACAAACAAGAAGAGTAAAGATAAGGAAAAGGATCAGGAAAGAAAATCAGAGAGTGATATAGATGTAAAAGTTACACGGGTTTATGATGAAGAGGAACCGGGTTATGACAGTAAGAAAGAGGAAAAAAGAAGAGAAGAAAGCAATAGAAGCAGGTTCCCCTAAAACAAAGAAATGTCCTGTGGAAAAGGGAACTGATGATTCACTAAGAGAATCCAAAGTGAATGGGAATGATCATCATGAAGAAGACATGGGTATGAGTGACTGAATATTGCCTCTATGGGAATCCAACTGTATACATGCATCAGTGTCATTCCTTTGTGTGATTTCTGAGTGCTATATTTGTTCATCTCAAACCTAGATGTATACAGCTCTGAGTTATTAATGGCTATAAAGCTCCCGTTATTGATACTAATTTACATCAAAAAGCTTTTAGAAAATGGTATGACGTAAGCAATTCTTGTCATGGTGACATCTGATGGAGTAACCAAACAGTTTTACTCTTGGTGCTGCTTCATAACAGAAATGAAAAGCTGCATGCTCCTACAGCAGGAATGGATTGTTTATGTCATATAATTTCCTTTATTAAGTTCACTTATAGTACTTCTAGAATGTTATGCATCGGGTTAATAGAGCCATGTAGGAAATGCACTGATTGCATGTTATTGTGGCAAGAATATCCTAAATGTCATTAAAATCCTCCAACATGATGGATCTACTTATGGTCTTGTTTGTTGACGTGACAAGTTAACATTCTTATAGTTCCATCTGGAAATGAGCATTTGAAATAGATAATCCGGCTGGGCACAGTGGCTCACGCCTGTAATTTTAGCACTTTGGGAGGCCAAGGCGGGCAGATCACCTGAGGTGAGGAGTTCCAGACCAGCCTGGCTAACATGGCGAAACCTCATCTATACTAAAACACACACACACACACACACACACAAAAATTAGCCAGACATGGTGGTGCATGCCTGTAATACCAGCTACTCCAGAGGCTGAGGCAGGAGAATCACTTGAACCCAGGAAGCAGAGATTGCAGTGAACTGAGATCATGCTACTGCACTCCAGCCTAGGCGACACAGCGAGACTCCATCTCAAAAAAAAAAAAGAAGAAGAAGAAAGAAAGAAGGAAAAGAAAAGAAATAGATAATCCTTTAAGCCTTGTGGCAAAATTTTTGTCATTTTGGTTTAACTTTGAATGGTTATTATGCACTAACCTTTTTTGATGGCTAATTAGGGTTTAATTACAGAAACAAGATTTCAAGTAAAACTGTCTTTGGCAGTGAGTAAATAGTATATTTTGAAGTAGAGTTGTATACTTTTTCATAAGATGTTTGGGAATTTTTTTTCCTGAAATAATTTATTCCACATCTACATCAGTGAAAGCTATCTACCTATCCTGAGTCCATCTTAAACAAAGAAAAAACTTATCTCTTGCCCTTATTTTGAATTTTCCACTCTTCCATTAATTTGTCTTAAGCTCAGTGTTGGAAAAAAGGGATAGTGCATTTTAAATTGTCCTTCATATGCTTTTAAAATAAGACAAATTGACTGGGCGTGGTGGCTCACACCTGTAATCCCAACACTTTGGGAGGCCAAGGCAGGCGGATCACCTGAGGTCAGGAGCTCGAGATCAACCTGGCCAACATGGTGAAACCCCATCTCTACTAAAAATCAAAAAACAAAAATTAGCCAGACATGGTGGTGCATGCCTGTAATACCAGCTGCTTGGCAGAATCGCTTGAACCCGGGAGGTGGAGGTTGCAGTGAGCCGAGATCATGCCATTGCACTCCAGCCTGGGCAACAAGAGCAAAACTCTGTCTCAAAAAAAATAGAGGAAGCTATGTAAAGAGTACAAGAAGCACAGTCCCTAATTTCGGCTGCTATAGAACCAAAGAAGAAAGAAGGCATTCAAGATCATCTTCTAAACACAGACAGTCAAGAAACAGATCAAGAGAGCGATCACATTCTAAGTCTAGGAGTCGTTGATCCAAAAGCCCAAGACAGAGAAGATCTCATTCCAGGGAGAGAGGTAGAAGATCAAGGAGCACATCAAAAACGAGAGACAAAAAGAAATAAGACGAAAGAAACGTTCTAAAACACCACCAAAAAATTACAGCAGAGCCAAACATTGTAAAAGTACAAACAGAGATGACAACGAAGAAGCAGGAGTGGAACAAGATCTCCCAAAAAGTCGCAGTCTCCTAAAAGAAAATTGTCTCTCTCACCATCCCCTGGGAGACATAAAAAGAAGAAAAAAGATAGTAGGGATGAAAGAGTAGGGAGAAAGATAGTAGGGATGAAAGAGAACGATCAACAAACAAGAAGAGTAAAGATAAGGAAAAGGATCAGGAAAGAAAATCAGAGAGTGATATAGATGTAAAAGTTACACGGGTTTATGATGAAGAGGAACCGGGTTATGACAGTAAGAAAGAGGAAAAAAGAAGAGAAGAAAGCAATAGAAGCAGGTTCCCCTAAAACAAAGAAATGTCCTGTGGAAAAGGGAACTGATGATTCACTAAGAGAATCCAAAGTGAATGGGAATGATCATCATGAAGAAGACATGGGTATGAGTGACTGAATATTGCCTCTATGGGAATCCAACTGTATACATGCATCAGTGTCATTCCTTTGTGTGATTTCTGAGTGCTATATTTGTTCATCTCAAACCTAGATGTATACAGCTCTGAGTTATTAATGGCTATAAAGCTCCCGTTATTGATACTAATTTACATCAAAAAGCTTTTAGAAAATGGTATGACGTAAGCAATTCTTGTCATGGTGACATCTGATGGAGTAACCAAACAGTTTTACTCTTGGTGCTGCTTCATAACAGAAATGAAAAGCTGCATGCTCCTACAGCAGGAATGGATTGTTTATGTCATATAATTTCCTTTATTAAGTTCACTTATAGTACTTCTAGAATGTTATGCATCGGGTTAATAGAGCCATGTAGGAAATGCACTGATTGCATGTTATTGTGGCAAGAATATCCTAAATGTCATTAAAATCCTCCAACATGATGGATCTACTTATGGTCTTGTTTGTTGACGTGACAAGTTAACATTCTTATAGTTCCATCTGGAAATGAGCATTTGAAATAGATAATCCGGCTGGGCACAGTGGCTCACGCCTGTAATTTTAGCACTTTGGGAGGCCAAGGCGGGCAGATCACCTGAGGTGAGGAGTTCCAGACCAGCCTGGCTAACATGGCGAAACCTCATCTATACTAAAACACACACACACACACACACACACACAAAAATTAGCCAGACATGGTGGTGCATGCCTGTAATACCAGCTACTCCAGAGGCTGAGGCAGGAGAATCACTTGAACCCAGGAAGCAGAGATTGCAGTGAACTGAGATCATGCTACTGCACTCCAGCCTAGGCGACACAGCGAGACTCCATCTCAAAAAAAAAAAAAGAAGAAGAAGAAAGAAAGAAGGAAAAGAAAAGAAATAGATAATCCTTTAAGCCTTGTGGCAAAATTTTTGTCATTTTGGTTTAACTTTGAATGGTTATTATGCACTAACCTTTTTTGATGGCTAATTAGGGTTTAATTACAGAAACAAGATTTCAAGTAAAACTGTCTTTGGCAGTGAGTAAATAGTATATTTTGAAGTAGAGTTGTATACTTTTTCATAAGATGTTTGGGAATTTTTTTTCCTGAAATAATTTATTCCACATCTACATCAGTGAAAGCTATCTACCTATCCTGAGTCCATCTTAAACAAAGAAAAAACTTATCTCTTGCCCTTATTTTGAATTTTCCACTCTTCCATTAATTTGTCTTAAGCTCAGTGTTGGAAAAAAGGGATAGTGCATTTTAAATTGTCCTTCATATGCTTTTAAAATAAGACAAATTGACTGGGCGTGGTGGCTCACACCTGTAATCCCAACACTTTGGGAGGCCAAGGCAGGCGGATCACCTGAGGTCAGGAGCTCGAGATCAACCTGGCCAACATGGTGAAACCCCATCTCTACTAAAAATAGAAAAATTACTGGTGGGCTCCTGTAATCCCAGCTACTCAGGAGTCTGAGGCAGGAGAACACTTGAACCCGGGAGGTGGAGGTTGCAGTGAGCCTAGATTGTGCCACTGCACTCCAGCCTCAGCAACAGAGTGAGACTCCGTCTCAAAAAAAATAATAAAATCTCAAGTTGTATAAAACCGATAAATTTGTGTTACTGCAGTAGTAGTCTTATGCACACAGTGATTTCATGTTATATATGCAAAGTAGTTAGGCAACTGTTTTCTTTGTTAGAGGCATTTCAAGCTCCACTTTTGTGCAGTAAAAAGTAGGCTACAGTTTGTGCCATGTTGATGTACAATTTCTGAAATTATTTTATAATACTTTGATAATAAAACCCTTAAACTTAAAAGAAAATTGTGTAATGCCTGAATCATACATTCTCATTCTTATTATTATGAAATAATCTGCCTTTTATAATAGCTTTATAATTTAGCAATTAACTGAAATGTAAATCTATGTTACCTATTACTTCAAAGAAGGAATTAAAGCAAGAAGCAAAGCATTTAACTCATTTCAAGTGAATTCTTAAACATCCTACATGTACTATTTAGTCTTTCCTCTGATTCCTTACATCACGGTATGTAGACTGTTAACACCACTCTTAAAATGGTTTCTAGGATTCTCATATTCAAACCAGAAGCGAATTATATATATTCTTTTTTTTTTTTTTTTCTTTAAGAACTTGAAAGCCAGGCGCAGTGACTCATGCCTGTAATCCCAGCACTTTGGGAGGCCAGGGCAGGTGAATAATCTGAGGTCAGGAGTTCGAGACCAGCCTGACCAACATGGTGAAACCCCATCTCTATTAAAAATACAAAAATTAGCTGAGTGTGGTGGTGGGCTCCTGTAATTCCATCTACTCAGGAGGCTGAGGCAGGAGAATTGCTTGAACCCGGGAGGTGGAGGTTGCAGTGAGCCAAAATGGCCCCATCTGTACTCCAGCCTGGGTGACAAGGGCGAGGCTCCCTCTCAAAAACAAAACAAAACAAAAGAACTTAAGCAGGCTGGGCACAGTAGCTCTCGCCTGTAATCCCAGCACTTTGGGAAGCCAAGGCGGGTGGACCACTTTGAGCTCAGGAGTTCAAGACCAACCTGGGAAACATGGCGAAACCCCATCCCTACAAAAATTAGCTGGGCGTGGTTTTTTTGTTGTTGTTGTTGTTGTTGTTGTTGTTTCCCAGTGCCTGTAAAAGTTATGCTTACTCTATACTGTAGTCTGTTAAATGTGCAATAGCATTATGTCTAAGAAAAAAATTCTTGTATTGCTGAAAAACACTAATGATCATCTGAGCGGTCAGCAAGTCCTAATCTTTTTGCTAGTGGAAGGTCTTCCCTCAGTGTTGATGCCTGCTAACTGATCAGGGTGGTGCTTGCTGAACATTGGGATAGCTGTGGCAGTTCCTTAAAATAAGACAACAATGAAGTTTGCTACACCAATTGACTCTTCTTTTCACGAAAACATTTATCTGTAGCATGCAATGGTGTTTGAGAATATATTGCAAGTGGTAGAACTTCTTTCAGAATTGGAATGGGGTCGGGCATGGTGGCTCATGCCTGTCACTTTGGAAGGACAAGGTGGGAGGATTGCTTGAGGCCAGGAGTTTGAGACCAGCCTTGGCAACATAGCAAGACCCTGTCTCTGAAAAAAAAAAAAAAAAAAAAAAATTTAATCAGCCAGGATTAAAAATACACATGTCTGTAGTCCCAGCTACTTGGGAAGCTGAAGCGGCAGGATCAATTGAGCCCAGGAGGTTAAGGCTGTGGTGAGCTATGATTACTCCACTGCACTCCAGTCTGGGCAGCAGAGCGAAACTCTGTCTCAAAAAATTAAAAAGTAATAATAATAATAAAATTGAACAGAATCCTCTCAAACCCTGCTGCTGCTTTATCAACCAAGTTTATATATTCTAAATGCTTTGTTGTCATTTCAGCAATGTTACAGTATCTTCACCAGGAGTAGATTTTATCTCAAGAAACTTTCTTTGCTCATCCATAAGATGCAGTTTCTCGTCCACTGAAGTTTTAGTACGAGATTGAAGCAATTCACTCACGTCTTCAGGCTTCACTTCTGATTCTTTTATTTCTGCCACATCTGCAGTTCCTTCCTCCACTGAAGTTCTAAACCCCTCAAACTCATCCATGAGAGTTGGAACCAATGTTTTCAAACTTCTGTTAATGTTGCTATTTTGACCTCCTCTCTTGAATCACGAATATCTAGTATGTAGAATGGTGAATTCTTTCCAGAAGTTTCTTCTTTAATTCACCCATATCCATCAGAAGAATCACTGTCTATAGCAGCTAGAGCCTTATGAAATGCATTTCCTAAATAATAAGAATTGAAAGTTGAAATGACTCCTCTATCCATGGGCTGCAGAATGGATGTTGTATTAATGGTCGTGAAAACCACATTAATCTTATATGTTTCCATCGGAGCTCTTGGGTAACTAGATTCATTGTCAATGGGCAGTCATATTTTGAAAGAAATCTTTCTGAGCAGTAGTTCTCAACAGTGGGTTTAAAATACTCAGTAAACCGTGCTATAAATAGGTGTGCTATTATCCAGGCTTTGTTGTTCCATTTTTGGAGCGTAAGCAGAGTAGATTTAACATCAGGATTTTCACAATAGTAAATGAGCATTGGCTTCAGCTTGAATTACCAGCTGCATTAGCCCCAAACAAGAGTGTCATCCTATTTGAAGCTTTGGAGCCAGGCATTGACTTTCCCTCTCTAGCTATGAAAGTGCTAGGTGGCATCTTATTCCCATACAAGGCTGTTTGTCTACATTGAAAATCTATCACTGAATGCCAACACCTTCAGTTATCTTAGCTAGATCTTCTGAATAACTTGCTGCAGCTTTTCCATCAGCACCTGCTGCTTCACCTTGCACTTATATATTATGGAGATGACTTCTTTCCATACACCTCATGAACCAAACTCTGCCAGCTTCCAACTTTCCTTCTGCAGCTTCCTCACCTCTCTCAACCTTCATAGGATTGAAGAGAGTTAGGGCCTTGCTCTGGATTAAGCTTTGGCTTAAGGGAATGTTGTGGCTGTTTGATCTTCTCTTCAGACCACTAAAACTTTCTCCCTATTAGCAACAAGGCTGTTTTGCTTTCTTATCATTTGTATGTTGAGTGGAGTAGCACTTATAATTTCCTTCAACAACTTATTTCTTTGACTTCTCAACTTGGGTAAATGCTTACCACAAGGGGCCTAGTTTTCGGCCTCTCAGCTTTTTGACATGCCTTCCTCACTAACCTTAATCATTTCTAGCATTTGATTTAAAGTGATAAGCATGCAACTCTCCCTTTCACTTGAACTGTTAGAAGCCATTGTAGGGTTATTAATTGGCCTAATTTCAATATTGTTGTGTCTGGGGGAATTGGCAGGCCCAAGGAAAGGAAGAGAGATGGGACAACGGCCGCTCAGTGAAACAGAGCACACAACCTTTATCGATTTTACCGTCTCTTATGAGCGAGGTTCCTGGCTCCCCCAAAACTATTATAAAGGATGAGCCAGGAGGATTGCTTGAGCCCAGAAGTTCAGGACCAGCCTGGGCAACATAGTGAGGCCCCTGTCTCTACAAAAAAATAAATTAGCTGGGCATGGTGGCATGTGTCTGTAGTCCTAGCTATGCGAGAGGCTGAGGTGGGATCGCCTAAGCCTAGGAGTTTGGGGCTGCAGAGAGCCATGATAGGGCCACCACATTCCAACCTGGGCAACGGATCATAACAGTAAGAATTTTTTGTTTAACTGATGGTTGTTCCAGCTACCTTTACATTTAATTAAAAAGTTTGACAAATAAAATTAATTTATTAATCAGGTTGGTGGTAAACTAACATGAGGGAACTACCTGGGTAAATGGAAACATTCCGTATATTTTTACTGTTAACATATGTGAATACTTTTGTCAAAAGTCATTGATGTACAACTAAAATTTGTCAATTTATTCTTCAGTGAATATTTTTTTTTTTTCCCAGTATCCTCACTTCCAAAAAGCAGTTGTAGGCACAGAGATTTAAAAACAAATGGTCTAGTCTGAATGAAACTTTTAGTTGAGATATTGTTAAAAGACAAGTGTATGTTTAATTATCACTTAATTGACTAAAAAGTAGATTAAACCAGTCATAGGAGGTTTTTAATTTGATAACTAAACAAATTTTATTGGGTGAAACATTGGTAGTTAGACTGAAAATATAATTGTCTAGAAAAATAATTTTAAGGTTTAGTTTTTTCTTACATTATATTAATAAATTTATTAATACTGAGATTAATGAACTTTTGTTGTAGACTTAGCTGAATCAGTAAGTAGCATTTGTCAGCCACAATAGAAATCCTTATTTTCTATATATGAAAGATGAAAAGTACATAAAGTAAACGTTACAAATTACTATTATAGGCAGACCTGTCTGCTTACAAATGATAAAGCTTTCTTGGCCTTTTACTGTATACATCATCATTGTCTTTTGAGTGCTTTAACTCAAGTACAGAGCCTGCTAAAACAAATATTTTTCTAGAGGCAGTAATTAAGTATAACATAGCTGGAAATGTTAAGCTTGGTTTCAGACTACCTTTTTGGGAGCTGAGGAAATATACCAAGTCTTTGCCGAATAAGTCTTAGTTTGCATATCCTTGAGTAATTCTCCATGTGGTATTATACTGTGAGAAAATCCAAAATAGAGTGTCTATAAATGTCAAGATTACCTTTAACAAAATATGTGATTAAGTGACACATTCAATATATTATAATATTTTAATATTTTTAGAGAACTAATTTTTTATAACCTTACACAGAACTGAATATCATTTTCAGCTTTATTACTGAATTCATAATCAATTAAATTATACCGTTTTTCTCCTGAATGTGTAGGTTCTTGCCCTTTAGTTTATCCTTTGAATTATGATTTATCATCTATTTTAGTATGTGTAGCAATATTAATTAATTGACTATATCATGATTATATGTATGAAGTAAAACTAGTTGTGACAGTGTTGTAATTAGTAGTTTTTTTCTTGAAAGTATTTCACAGCATTTAATACTTGTTTAAATGGTTTATATGACTTAAATCTGTACAACCATGGGGTAAAATGTAAACAACTGCACTATTAGGAAGATATTAAAGTAGAGGCTATATTTACAGTGTCGTCTTTCAAATCTAGCTATGCTGTAAACTGATGTTTGCTGTATGCTCCTCCTGATTTGAAATAGATGAAAGAAAATGAACCTATTATCACCATGGTTCACACAATGATTGAGAACTCGGCGCTAAGACCCCAACTGTACCAGCAAGTAAGGTCTTGGACAGTGAATGATACTGCTTTATCATCTGCAAAATCCCTCAGTGACAGTTTTGATTTATTCTCAGATTTACTCATGACATCAGTGTTTTTCTTATGTTATTTTTTGTTTATGTTTATTTGGAAAACCACAATTCATCCATGCTTTTCAAGATGCTGCAGTATTCTTAGCATGGCTTCGCTGAACATTTTGCTGTTGAATATTAAATGTGCCATTTTCCTAAAGTTTTTGTGCAGAGTATTTGATTGATATGTACTTGGAGGTCTGCAGTACATTTGCAAAATTACTAGATTTTCATGTGGTTTTATTAACTTTAAAAGCATTATACCTATTTTTTAGGGAAAAGGCTTTGTAAAAATATTTACTTTCAGGGGTAGCCCTTCACAACTTCCCCCAACCTAGTGTTTTAAGAATACATTCTATTTGTATGGGCGTTATTCAAATCTAGTTTCTGTACTGTGGTATGGTAAAACTTAAAGATAGCCGCTTCTTAACATACTGGGGGTATTTTCTCCCTGTGTTCTTACCATTCTCAAGCAGTCGTCAAGACTATCATAAGTTGCCCTATTGTTTTTCCAAACTCAAAATGTGTGTCATGGAGTTGACTGGCTTTAACTTAGGAACCTTAGTAATCTGCAGATCTGCAAAAGAAGTCATATATGTTTCTATCAAATTTTTGTGTATTTCATGGTCTAAATGTTTCTAGCTATGTGTTTCTCAGCATCAGCTTCTTCCACCTCAACACCCTCAAATTACTCTGGCGTATGACCTTTATAATCTTTAAAAATCATGCAGAAGAAGAAAATTAACTAACATGAAAAATGAATATATATTTTGATTAAAATGTATAAGGCACCTAGTAAAAAGAAGGACTTTGAGCTCACACTGGCTTTTTAGGCCTCTATTTGGTTCAGTTTCCATGGGATCTGCATCACAGGGCCCTGTAACTGAGGAATGGGTACAGTTGATCAGAAGGTGACTTATATTTCAGCACAGTTTTCAAAGTATTTAAAGTATATTTTTAGATGACTGAAAATGGTCTTAAATTTGCAATAAAGAGATTAACAAACTTAAATATTTAAAGTTAAACAGCTTTACTTATCAAAAGAAAATGGAATCTTTCAATTCTTAAAGTCACCAGATTATAGACCTTGGTACTCTATTCCAAAGTACCACACTGAGAGTCTTAATACTTATTCCAAAACTGATACCTTCTGCAGTGTCTGAAGCTGTCAGTAAAATATATCATCTATGTAATGCTAAATTGACATGAGATCAAAGAGATTTTGTTATAATAGGTTATGTTTTTATCACGTTTTGCATGTTTTAGCCTGGATTTCCTATTAATTTGGTTGGTTTTTCTTTTTTATAATGCTCAACATTCAGGGTTATTGATGCGGAAGTCTGATAGTTTAAATTATTCAGTTGCATTAAAAGTTCTAATTGGGGTTTTCCCAAATGTGGAGATCTGAAATGGGAAGGGCTGAGAGGGGGAGAAAAAAGTGAAGATATATGAGACTGGCTCAGTATAGCATCACTGACCTTGAATACTGAAAGAGCAATAGATTTGTATAAATATTTCTTCATATTAATATGTGAAAGAAAACTAAAATTGTACAGAACAGAAAGATCTGAATGTCTAATGTCAGCAGCCTTGCCTGGGCATGGCTGAGCCACCAGTTACCAGGAAATCAGTGTTAACTCTCAGTGCTATTAAGGCTAGGGAGTCTTCAGATGTCTTACTTTTATTCAGTCACTACTAAAGGACTTAATTATTGCAGGACATCCTTAATAGATTAAAGTGACAGCCTGACACATTTTTTTAAACTGTGTTTATAAATTTGCACAAATTGAAATTATATTTTTTGTTTCTCCAGGTTTCCCTTATCATGTTATTATCCAGGGAAAATGTACTGGTACAGTTTGCTTTTCCGAAGTTAATTGACAATGTTGTATTAATAAGTTCTTGATATTTAGCTAGAAATACAATGGCAAAATGTTTTATAACCCATTTTATTCTGAATCATAGCCACTCAGTTTATGGAAATGTTTGCATTTTTCTTCCTTGGAGGACGCCCAAGAAATTATCTAGGCAGTAATTTTCTTAAAATTGGTCAAATAAAAAAGACTTAAAACTGAATCCAGGCCTGGCAAAGTGGCTTATTCCTATAATCCCAGCAATTTGTGAGGCCCAAGCTGAAGGATCACTTGAGCCCAGGAGTTTGAGACTAGACTGGGCAACAAAGCAAGACCCTGTCTCTACAAAATATGAAAAAATTAGCCAGGCATGGTGGCACACACCAATAGTCCTAGCTACTCAGGAGACTGAGACAGGAGTCCAAAGCTGCAATGAACTGTGATTACGATTACACCACTATGCTCCAGCCTGGGTGACAGAATGAGATACTATCTCTTTTTGTTTGTTTGTTTTTAAAGCATTCTGTATTCCACCGGGCGCAGTGGCTCACGCCTGTAATCCTAGCACTTTGGGAGGCTGAGGCAGGCGGATCACAAGGTCAGGAGATCGAGACCATCCTGGCTAACACGGTGAAACCCTGTCTCTACTAAAAATACAAAAAATTAGCCAGGCATGGTGGCGTTTTTTGCCCTCTATGGATATAATGTCTAATTTTATCAAATTTTAAAATATTTCCCCAAAACTCCTTTTTGGAGTTTATGTATTATGTTCATATACTCTAAAATATATATAGTTCACATACCTAAGGGATATTGAAGTTGAATTTTAATTAACATAAGTAACTTTGTTTTACTGCCAAGGACAGCTTTATAAAAAAAGAAGCCATCAGATACTTTAAAAGGTTCCAACATCCTAAATAAAATATAACACATGTCCTTATGTAGTTAATAAAATCTATATAATACACTCCTCAACCTGAAGTTGGAGCACTGCACAAATTTGTGTAATTACTACATAGCCCATTTTTTCATTTGCTTTTCTAGTGTTGGTAAAGTACTTCAAATGAAGTATTCAAACCAAACCTTTTTTTTTTTTTCTTTTTTTGCTAAAGGTGTATTTGAAAAAACTGATAAAAAGTGTTACCATGAACTTAACCATGCAAAACTTGAGTTAAGCAGAATGCTCATGAAATTTACATTTTCCTTCTTTTTTTAGTAAGACCGGAGGTTGGGATTGAGGGGTCAGGATTTTCATATTGAGAACGAAATAGCAACCTTTTCAATTATATGAAGGTGTTTTTGTTTGTTTAAGGAATAATTTTGTTTTCTTATGCTTTTATTCTGTCGTAAAAGCAGTGTGTGGGGAAAGGTTTAAGGATTTGGTTAGTTGATGTCTATTGAATATCTTTATTGAATAACTTAAAAGATTTAAAGAAAAATTTCGGTGGTACTGAAAGCAGAAATACCACAAAAATCGGATTGATACGTGTAATATATTTATATGGCTATAAAGGAGATATCACTCTAAAGTTGTAACTACAGTAAGCATTTTTCTCTATTATGATATGCTAGCTGATGTAAAAATAAATCTGCAATAAGACTCCCCAAGTAAAAATAGTATGTCAATATCCTAAAGATTTACTATAAATTACTAAGTTTTCACTTTAATATACTAGTCTTTTTTTCTGTTGACTCTGAGATGTAGGTTATATTTGATATTTTAATCCATATGAAACACTGTCCGCTAGTTATATTCAGATTCTGTAGTCTAGTAAAGCTGTTTTGCATTTAACTTTAAATATTAAGCAAACTATGTCTGGGCGTGGTGGCTCATGCCTATAATCCCAGCACTTTGGGAAGCCAAGATAGGAGGATCACTTGAGGTCAGGAGTTCGAGACCAGCCTGGCCAACATGGTGAAACCCTGTCTCTACTAAAAATACAAAAATTAGCTGGGCATGGTGGTGCACGTATAATCCAAGCTACTCTGGAGGCCGAGGCAGAAGAATCACTTGAACCCAAGAGGCGGAGGTTGCAGTGAGCCAAGATTGCATCACTGCACTCCAGGCTGGGCAATAGCGAGACTCCATCTCAAAAAATAAATAAATAAATACTAAGGAAACTATATTTGAACATCTTAGTAGCTTATGACCTTTCATCTTTAATTTGTTATAAATGTGAAAAATGTAATTTTGGCATTGTCTTACATTTTTTATCATAGATCTACCTATTTAAAACTTACTTTTTATTATTTTTTTTCCAGATAGGAATATAAATTATTTTCTTGGATCTAGGTGCTTTAATTTACAATGACAATTGACACTTCTCAGGACACACCTGAGGATACTTATTTTGAATAGTGTAAGAGTATTCTAACTTTTGTCATTAAATTCATTTTTCATGTAATATTCATTTCTATGAAAGTTTTGTGGTTTAACAATCACTGTGCATACCCTTAAATAGTCACAGATTCATTTGCATGAGGTATGTGAAAGTAATGTCTTGAAATGAAATGTAAATCCAGGATTTATTTTATGTTTGGAATGCTTATATTTTTAACCTTCTCCTGATTCCCACATTTCTAGATCAATTCAAAGTTATCTCCTATTTAAATCATTATTTAATGCTTCCTTTTAAAGCTGTAACTGTCAGGCAGTTTCTTTCATAGAGAAAACATACAGAATTGTCATTTATACATTCTTTTGTATAATGCATATATGAAATTTAATTTTCTAAACTGGAATATAGTTGGGACACATTACTTCTAACCTCACCTTGAAAAAATTGTGCAATTTAGTAAGCATACAATGAGCCCCATTTAAATTTTTTCTACTATGTTTTTGTTACTTTCTCACAGTCAATATAAAAATCAAAAGACAAGAAAAATAGTGAAGTATTGCCTGCAGAGGCTATGATGTTATCTGTGATATAACTGACTGGGATGGCTATTGAAATCTTGCTAAGCACAATCAGAAGTAACCACAAAATATCTTTTAACCAAAATATACTGGGAAGAAGCTGAAGAAAGGATATTTAAGTACACTAAATAATTCCTTACAATAGAGTAACACAAATGGTGTCAACAAACACACATAAACTTTTTAATGAAATTTGACTACCCATAGTTTGTAACATAGGCTTTCAGTTTTATGCGGTTTCGAATGATTTTCCTCTTTTCAATTAAACCCGTCCTTTTCCTTCATTATCTTTTAGTTCTTAAGACAGAAGAACAAGATAAGTCTATATTGTGTATGTGTGTTTATATATTATGTATATGTATACAATATGTTATAGGTTTTCGTTAAATAAGATGTGTTGACATTTGAGTGTACACATATACAGTGTGTGATGATGTGTATACTGTGAAGGATGGTTTTGACTGTTGAACTTTGCTTGATTTAAGTATTTGATTTGATACAGTTGCAATGATTGTATTTGTCAATTTTTTTATTAAAATAATGTGTGTCTTTAAAAGAAAGAATGTAAGATACTGTATTAGTTTTGTTTGACCAGCATATTATTATGTTTAACAAGCTTGTTACATACATCATTCTTATGTATCTTGCATATTATATCACTGTTAAGTATTTTTCTACTTTGTTAATCAGTGTTTGAATTAAACTTCTAAAAGTATAAGAATCATTAAAATCCATCTTTGTTATATATATTTAATATAAATCCAAAGTATTAATTATAGGCTAAATATATTTTTAAATTAAGATTTTTAAGTTGCTATATGATTTTTTTCTTATAGCTGTCACAAGATGAAGGTAGAGGCACATTATACAAATACAGACCTGAAGAAGTAGATATTGATGTAAGTATTAGTATGATATATATTGTCAGTACTCTGTTATATTCTCTGCCAAAAACACTGGAAATAAGCATAACCAAAAAACTTCTTTCTCCCAAGTCGTCCAAAATGACATCAGATAAATTCATATTTTATGTGTGTGCTCTAAATTATTGTTCCCTGCCCTCTACGTCCCTCTACTCCCTATTGTTAGTAGTCCAACATATGAAGCATCACTTAAATGAAAGTAAAAACTATTTCTGATTTTTAGAAGTTACAGATTGACTGGGCGCGGTGGCTCATACCTGTAGTCCCAGCACTTTGGGAAGCCGAGGTGGGCGGATCACTTGAGGCCAGGAGTTTGAGACCAGCCTGGGCAACGTAGCATACTAAAATACAAAAATTACTAAATATACAAAAATTGTCTCTACTAAAAATACAAAAATTAGCTGGGCATGGTGGTACGCGCTTGTAATCCCAGCTACTCGGGAGGATGAGGCATGAGAATCTCTTGAACCCAGAAGGGAGAGGTGCAGTGAGCTGAGATCATGCCACTGCATTCCAGCCTGGGTTATGGAGTGAGACCCTGCCTCAAAACAAACAAAAAAAAAAGTTATGGAAGACTGGAGACAAAGAAGAATTGCTATGTTTTTCAGATAAAGTATCGGCCTTTAGAAATTTTATCACTACTCCTTTTTAAATTAAATTGAGTTTCTTTTAAATCATATTTTAGATTGCTGATTTGCCATACATTCTTATGCATACTTCCCTCATTATTTCCCCTGGTTTTATTTCATTGAGTTTTTTGAGTTATACCCCCTTTTTTTTTTCTTTTTGAGTCAGGGTCTCTCCCTGTTACCCAGGTTGGAGTGCAGTATCACGATCTCAGCTCACTGCAACCTCTGCCTCCTGGGTTCAAGTGATTCTTATGCCTCAGACACCCATATAGCTGGGATTACGGGAGCACGCCACCATGCCCAGCTGACTTTTTGTATTTTTTTTTTTTAGTAGAGACAGGGTTTCGCCATGTTAGCCAGGCTGCTCTCGACCTCCTGACCTCAGGTAATCCACCCACCTTGGCCTCCCAAAGTGCAGGGATTATGGGGGTGAGCCACCGAGCCCAGCCCCCCACTTTTTCTTTTTAACACCTTTCATTTTGTGTAGCCTGAGTCTTGTTGTCTGACAAAGACAAGGTAGTTATTTTGATAGATAAATGGCAAAGAAGATAAAGTCTCAAATTTCTTGCTTATATGCCATTATGCCATAAAGTTGGGGACATATTTCCAATTTGTCCAATGTTTTCATTTTGAAACATTAAAACTGGTTTATTGTACTATTGAAATTTTATTAGAGTACTTTCTTATACTTTCTTAATTAAGAAATTAGGGTAATATTAAGAATTTAAACACAAACTGATGAAAGTTATTTTTCTCCTTTAATACTATTTTTATTTGTATTTCAGTTAGAAGTGATCTATTGTTTACATTATTTTCTAAGAATCCAAGAGCATGATTTTTTAAATATGTAACAATACAATCCAGTAAGCATTTTAATTAAGGACTGCATATATCACTTAACCTATTTAGCAGATTGTAGAGGCAAAATGCTTACATGCCTATTTTTTAGACATTCTGTCTTTATAAGCTATATTTTAGCTTTCATTTTATGGATTGAAATAAAGATTTTTGGTCAGATAATGATTGCCTACCTCCAATTACAGAAAAAATTTAAAAATTGCTAACAAGACATCTTCTCTTATAACCTAGGCCAAGTTAAGCCGATTATGTGAACAAGATAAAGTGGTGCATGCTCTGGAAGAGAAACTTCAGCAACTCCACAAGGAGAAAGTAGGACAGTTATGTTTATTGTCTACAACTGATGTTACTTAATATGATTATTATCAGGACACTGATAAGTAAAAAGAATTAATACGATGATGCAGAACGTTAAATGTAATTCTTTTTATTATAATAGTATACGCTTGAGCAAGCTTTGCTGTCAGCCAGCCAAGAGATAGAAATGCATGCAGATAACCCAGCAGCCATTCAGACAGTGGTGTTACAAAGGGATGATTTACAAAATGGACTGCTTAGTACGTGTCGAGAACTTTCTCGAGCCACTGCCGTAAGTAGATTTTTTTTTCCCCTAATAGAAGTAACTTGAATATGTAGTTCTATTTTCTTCTCTCTTTTTTTTTTTTTAAATACTGGGCTCTCTTTAGGATTCTTCATTATTATTATAGCAAAAAATAGTAATTTGTTATTAGTGTGCTTCTCTTTAGGAACATAAAAATAAAAGATTATTTAATTAGTGGGCATTCTGTTATTTATTTACTTACTTATGAGACAAGTTCTCACTCTGTCACCCAGGCTGGAGTACAGTAGTTTGACTATAACTCACTTGTAGCCTGAATTTCTTGGACTCAAGTAAGAGCCTTGGCCTCCGAAGTAGCTGGGACTACAGGCTGGCACTACTACACCTGGCTAGATTTTTTTTTTTTTTTTTTTTTTTGCATAGAGATAGGGCCTTACTGTGTTGCCCAGGCTGGTCTTAAACTCCTGGTCTCAAGTGATTCTCCTGGCTTGGCCTCCCAAAGTGCTGCAATTACAGGTGTAAGCCACCACACCCAGCCAAACATTTTGTCTTTGTGAAATGAGTGTTTTACAGGGGAGATAAGTACTCCTGTTTTTATGTATCATGTAAATGAAAAATTCTGAAATATGTGAAAATTTATTGCATTAAGAAAATAAATAGGCCAGACACGGTGGCTCATGCCTGTAATCCTAGCACTTTGGGAGGCCGAGGTGGGTGGATCACCTGAAGTCAGGAGTTCAAGACCAGCCTGACCAACATGGTGAAACCCCATCTCTACTAAATATACAAAATTAGCCAGGTGTGGTGGCACGCACCTGTAATCCCAGCTACTCAGGGGGCTGAGGCGGGAAAATCACCTGAGCCTGGGAGGCAGCGGTTGCAGTGAGCCAAGATCATGCCATTACACTCCAGCCTGGGCGACAAGACTGAAACTCTGTCTCAATCAATCAATCAATAGAAATATAAATAGCAAGGCTAGGTGTGGTGGCTCACGCCTCTAATCCCAGGACTTTGGAAGGCTAAGGCAGCTGGATCATTTGAGGTCAGGAGTTCGAGACTAGCCTGGCCAACATGGTGAAACCTCATCTCTACTAAAATACAAAAATTAGCTGGGTGTGGTGGCAGGTGCCTGTAATCCCAGCTACTTGGGAGGCTGAGGCAGGAGAATTGCTTGAACCCAGGAGGCAGAGGTTGCAGTGAGCCAAGATCATGCCACTGCACTCCACCCTGGGCAACAGAGTGAGACCCTGTTTTAAAAAAAAAAGAAAGAAAGAAAGAAAGAAATATACATAACAGAACCTTGTAACTCATAGTCATATGACTATGACTGTGAGTCTCTTGGAATGACGAAATCTAAAAGTCTTAACTTGCAGCTTATAAATTGAGTGTTTTATGAGTTTAAACAGCTGGCTTTAGATCCTATGATGTGGTCATCTCTATAAACATAGTAAGAGCACCAGTCCAAGCAGCTCTTTGAAAGAGAAATCTTAGCAAAAACTGCCATGTTATATAAAACTGCTCCCAAACCTTTGTCTGTACTTACACTTCAATGGGCTAAGGAGCAGCTATCTTTTAAGAAGGGCCACAGACAGTATAGCTTAATTTAGAGGAGGCTTTCCAGGCTGGCAAGATCCCAGAATCTCAACTTGGCTTCTATTCTGAACCCTGAATTCCAAACGTGAGCTATTTTTAAAGGAATATACCATGATTTTGAAATCATTGAAAACTTAATTTGAGAAATTCTTAAATACCTTATATTTCTATTTCTATTTTTAAAATACTGTTATTGCTGTTGTCTCATTTGAGTCTCTTAATTATATTGTCATGTTTATAGGCTTTTTTAAAATTTAATATCCTTTCCATTGTGAGTTTCTTGAAATAAGAAACTGTGTCTCATTCACATTTGATGAATGATTGAGCTGAATGACTTACCCAAGGTTACAAAGCTAACAAATAATATGCCTAAAACTCAAATCCAGATCTTCTTACTATAGTTCTGAAGAATTAGATCTATATGAATTTCTGTAATATAGTCATAAAGAAAATGTAAGCACCTGAAATACTGTCTACAAGGAAGTAGTCACTAAGCTAATCAAGGATAGGTAGGATTTGAATACAACGAGAAGAGAAATGAAGAGTGGTTTATTCAAATAATACAAAACACCTTAAGCCACAGCAAAGATGAGAATGTAGGAGACATGTTTGGAAAAGGAGGAAATAGAACTAACTGCCTGAGTGGGATAGAGGATTCCTGTGAGAGGATAGAAAATGTGAGAGTAGAAAGGGAAAATGGGGTTAAGCTGTCAATGCCAAGCTAATGAGAAGCTCAGGGTCTCTAGGACAACTTGAGTCAAATCAAAATGGTAGGCTCTACAGACATTTAGTTGGAAACTATTTAATGATTTGATGTCTGCTCTTGAAATTCTAATTTTAGGAAATCCCTTATCAACTGGGATTAATAAATTAAATCTCATCAGTAGGCTCAGAATTTGCTCCATCTCAAGGTTAACTTTAGCTCAGATGGGAATATGTTAAAAATGTCTTAACAGAAATGAATGTTGCCAGGAGTGCTGGCTCACACCTGTAATCAGTACTTTGGGAGGTTGAGGCAGGAGGATTGCTTGGGCCCAGGAGTTTGAGACCACCAAACTGGGCAACTTAGGGAGACCCTATCTCTACAAGAAACAAAAAGTAGCTGAGCATGGTGTTGTACACCTGTGATCCTAGCTACTTAGAAGACTGAGGTGAGAGGATCTCTTGAGCCCAGGACGTCAAGGCTGTGTGATTATGCCACTGCACTCCAGCCTGGGTGATAGAGTGATTCACTGTCTCTAAAACAAAATAGTTAATAATAGAAGGCCAGGCATGGTGGCTCACGCCTGTAATCCCAGCACTTTGGGAGACCAAGACAGGCAGATCACAAGGTCAGGAGTTCGAGACCAGCCTGGCTGACATGGTGAAACCCCACCTCTAATAAAAATACAAAAATTAGCCAGGCATGATGGCAGATGCCTGTAATCCCAGCTACTCAGGAGGCTGAGGCAGGAGAATCACTTGAACCCGGGAGGCAGAGGTTGCAGTGAGCTGAGATCGTGCCATTGCACTTCAGCCTGGTCGACAGCAAGACTGTGTCTCAAAAAAAAAAAGTAATAATAAATAGAAAATAGGCCAGGCAGGCATGGTGGCTCAAGCCTGTAATCCTAGCACTTTGGGAGGCCAAGATGGGCGGATCACCTGAGGCCAGGAGTTCAAGACCAGCCTGACCAACATGGAGAAACCCTGTCTCTATTAAAAATACAAGATTAGCCGGGCATGGTGGCGCATGCCTGTAATCCCAGCTACTCAGGAGGCTGAGGCAGGAGAATCACTTGAATCCAGGAGGCTGAGGTTGTGGTGAGCCGAGATCGCGCCATTGCACTCTGGCCTGGGCAACAAGAGCGAAACTCCATCTGAAAAAAAATAAATAAATAAAATAAAAATAAATTGATCTTCTGAGTATCCCCTTTTCTGGTTTTTATCTTATGTAATCACTTTCCTGGTTTCTTTTTCCTTGCCTTCAGCAATAATCCGTGGTTATGACAAACCCTCAGAATATATTCTTCTAAGACAAGTCTTACTGCATAGAATACAAACTATGTTATTTGTGCCTTTATGTAAACTTATTTATATTTGTAGCTTAAGGCTTCAAATGTTAGCATGTGCGTAACATCATACTGGGCATATGGTTGGCACTCAGTGAATGTTGATTAGATTTAAATTTGAATTACATTTTTGCTGGCAGAATCTCAAAGGATTTCACTGAATCTGTCACAGTCAATTCATAGCACTAGTTCAAATCTAAGCCCCAAGCAGAAGGCTTGTAACATTAGCACCTCTATAGATCAAAGCTGTGATTCTGAGAACTCTTCTCCTCACCTGGTAGGCCACAAAGTACACAAAACTAGGATTAGCACAAGGGAAACGTGTAAAGCAGTGTTCCCTATACTTTTTATTTATTTTTATTTTATTTTAGGTTTGGGGGTACATGTGCAGGTTTGTTAACTGGGTCTATTGTGTGATGCTGAGGTTTGGTGTATGAATGAGCCCGTCACCCAAGTACCTAGCATAGTACCCAATTTCAACCTTTATCCCCATTCTTTCCCCACCCTCAGTAGTCCCCAGTTTCACTGTTAAACCATCTTTATGTCCATGAGTACCAGTGTTTAGCTTCCACCTGTGAGAACATGCGGTATTTGGTTTTCTTTTCCTGCATTAATTTACTTAGGATAATGGCCTCTGGTTGCATCCATGATGCTGCAGAGGACATAATTTCATTCTTTGTTATCGTTGTGTAGTACCGTGGTGTATATGTACCACATTTTCTTTAACCAGTCCACCATTGATGGGCATCTAGGTTGGTTCCATGTATTTGCTATTGTAAATAGTTCTGTGGTGAACATGCAAGTGCATGGGTATGTTTGGTAGAAAGATTTGCTTTCTTTTGGATATATACCCAGTAATGCAATTGCTGGGTCAAATGGTAGTTCTGATTTAAGTTCTTTGAGAAATCCATAGTGTCCATAGTGGCCGAACTAATTCATATGTCCTCTCACTGTGTTATAAGCATTTCCTTTTCTCTGCAGTCTTGCCAGCATCTGTTTTTTGTTTTTTGTTTTTTTTTACTTTTTAATAGTAGCCATTCTGATAAATGTGAGATGGTATCTCATTGTGATTTTAATTTGTATTTCTCTGATGATTAGTGATATGGAGCATTTTTTATATGTTTTTTAGCCACTTATATGTCTTCCTTTAAGTGTCTGTTCATGTCTTTTGCCCATTTTTTAAGAGTTGTTTGTTTTGTTTTTTCCTTGTTCAATTGCTTAAGCTCCTTATAGATTCTGGATATTCAACCTTTGTTGGATGCATAGTTTGTGAGTCTTTTCTCTCATTCTGCAGGCTGTTTATTCCATTGATAGTTTCTTTTGCTTTACAGAAGCTCTTTAATTAGGTCCCACTTGTCAATTTTTGTTTTTGTTGCAATTACTTTTTTC